ACAAGATATTACAATAATACATAGATTTAAAAAAATAAAATCACGATGATGATGATGATGATGGTGGTATGGTGATGATAATTATGACATGATGATGTTGATAACGACGATGATTACTGATACGACGATGACACGTGACAGCGGCATGAACATATGTGGTGGTGATGATGATGATGATGATGATGATGATGATTATGACGATGATTATGATAACGGTAACAGCAGCGCAAAAGCAGCAGCAAAAGTTAAAACAGCAGCAATGAGCAGCAACCAGAACAATATACTAATATGATAATATAACATAGTATAAAAGTAATAATGAAACACCAGTAGTGGTGACATGATAATGCGAAAGATTGCAAGGTAATGCTGATAACTTTTGTAAGTTCAACACTAATGGTATTCTGCAACCATGCCAGTATAACCATGTCTGATATGGTTTTAGTGTCTACCGACACTTTACATACTGCCATACGACCATAAGCAAGAACTTTCATAGTACTTATATTAGGTCACTAAATTATACTTATTAAGTCACTTTGATTGCCTATAGTTTGTTGGGAATGTTCAATCATTGTTCATTTTTTTTTCTAGGCCTATTATCTTTCGGAATTGCTCACAAAGCAATTTTGTGACAGTGGCGCCCCGGATATCATACTACTGCACATACCATACTATATTACATATACGCCTTATAACCATGGATTGATTGATTTACCGATTATGTTAGCAATAACATTCACACTGGAATTGAGTATTGCTGTGACGGTAGATAAGATTCAAAATATCCTACTATTTAAATAGTAAATAATGCAGCATCTTCTGGCCCATTGTGGCGAGATTGGTAAAAATGCTTATCCCTGCCAAAACTTGCACTAATAAACGCAACCACCTTAATTATTTTGTTATTCATATAGCACCTTTCTTAGCATACGAATCGCTTCTGTCCCCGGTCATTGGGTCTACATCCTTAATGATTACCACCCCCCACAGCAAAAAAAAAGTAAATCCTTACCAGAGCTAATAGGGCTGGAGCTTATCCCAGTTCCTGAAGTGGGTGAGAGTGTGATGTTCCCCCCCCCCCCTAGGTGGGACGCTAGTCCACCACAGGTTACCCAATTAACTTGCTGGTACCCATTCATACAGCAGTTCAAGGACAAGCGAAATGCACAGCGATTGATTGAAACCCCAAACTCAAGGTTGGAAAACCAAACCATGGACCAACTACCAAAGCATTCCAGATACAAAGCACTTTTGTCCCCGCTCACGGTGTCTATACATGCTTAAATGTTGCTGTTGTAATCGGCACAGGAACAGACAATCCCACAAGGTTCCCATTTTTATACTCCAGGATGGAGAAAAGCAATACAGATAAAGTTCCTTGCTCAAAGACACAAGCGAACCCGGACCTCAAAGTTGGGAAACAAACTGTTCCCGCTGCGCCAATTCAGGGAACAGTGAAACTGTTAACTGTTTGCTGGCAAACCTACTTCTAATCTTTTATTTACTTTTGGCAATCTAACTGAGATTGTTTTACTTCAAGTATTTTTAGAATGGATGTACAGTTACTGCATGCTGTTATTGATTCTTAGTGTACCGTTTCCCAGTAGTCACACATTAAGTCCTGCAGTCGTTCTATTGAAATCACCATTACTATCTAACACCGTCCTACTAATTCAATATAGAGCAATGTATATACACAAAACATCATCTTATGCTGTGTATTATTTTGATGAATATATATATATTATCATATATTAAAAAGAAACAAGTTCTCGTAATCTCGAAAGCTTCGATGAGGGCAGTATAATAGAGGCAGTAGAGTATCTCACCCACTTCTTGAGAGAGCAGCTTAGCTCAGTTGTCTAATCTGGTGGTAGCAACTGTGTGTGCGCTGAACCGTGGAGATCTCTATGTCCCCGGTTCAATTCCCATCGCTGCCTCTCCTTATGTTTCAGCTAGAGGGCTGAAATACAAGTTAATAGCGCACCGTCTTTCGGATGAGACGTTTAGCCATTGGTCCCGTGTGCATTATGGCCCATGTGCACGTTAAAGAACGCAGTACACTCTTCGGAAAAGAGTAGGGGATTGTCTCCCGGTGTACTGCCCAATCACCACCAGAAGGACCCCACTGGAAATAAGTCTTCTTCTAGACTTTCGTGGGCTATCCTTGGTGTTTACACCGAATAAATCCAATCCAATCCAATATTGGAACCAGCGGCCGCCCACACAAAAAAAGTGCTATTAATCAATCAGCCGAGTGTTTCTAGTGGCCCTACCGGCCACCCATACAAAAAAGATCCAATCAATCAATCAGCAGGGTACTCCTAAAGCTCCTCATGGGAGATAAACACTGCATGGAAATCTTTATACAGTATATTTTAAATTATTTATTGACAGGAACATTTTAAGTTAGATCTGCCAAAACCACGATATTATACATTATCCTCATAGTGGATACTGTATGCTGTTACTGATTCATTAAACCATTTCAAGCCCTGAGCTCACCTTGCCCAAATATCCATTTTATTAGAAAAATACAAACTTCAATATCCTACTAACACCAAGTTGATATTAAATACAGGGCACTGTATACACAAAACATTGGCTTTTGATGTATTATTACTTTGATGTCTGCCCTAAAACACAAAAATTATTAGAACATTTCCAGTTTTCCAGTTTGGTCTGCCGAAACCATGGTCTCTGGTGTCTAATTCTTACAATAAAGACCAACACACAACAGGGGTCCCAAGTTTAAATGAGTTTCCTTAAGACATCTAAATATATTTTGCTGTGCATGTCTATAACCATTAAGATTGGCAATAACTGCTGCAGAGACAATTAATAATACAGTAGTAACAACTTGTAAAAGCATGCAAATATCATCATGAATCTGCGGGAAATGGATTAAATTGGGGAGATTCCTGCTAATTTACAACAGTGCCTGAGTCCCCCTGCCGATTTCCAGGACACTCTACTCTGGGAGACTTGGGACTCCTGGGCACTGAATGTGGTCTTTCGATTTCTCTATTTAGAGGAAAACTAAAAAAAATATAATTCATTAAATGTTTTAAAATTGATGTACAGGGTTCATGGCAGCCAGATATTAACTTGTCTTCTCATATTACTAAACATTGTCACTAAAATTATTGTTATTCAATATACTGTAAACAGGACAATGTACACAAAAGGGCACAACTATTTCTATGTGCATGTCATATATAACACAATTTATTATAGAAAAACTTAAAAACATTAATATCACTATATATTTTATAGTGGTATTTAATTGGGGTAAGATCTTCAGTTGGGTCTGCCAAAACCATGGTCTCTAATACAGAGAATCTATAATTTCAGGGAAGAGCTAATGATAGATACAGTAGGCATTCAACCAGGGCCACAGATATTTGGTATTTAATTGGAGGTGGTACTTAATTGGAAGGGGCTTAAATTGGAAGGATACCTGTAACTGACATTGTTTTATTTTCTTCTTTGTCAGCTAATTTCCAAAAACGTTTGTAATATGTTACTATATTTATTATATTATGAATAAAACAATATACAGTAGAACACCTACTTTGGGACACCCCCTATTAGGGAGACACTTTTTTGGCCATGAAAAGAAGGAAAGTATAACAAAATGGCCAACCCATATTCAGGTGACACTTCTATTAAGAGGATACTTTATTTGGTCCTGAAGGTGTCCCCTTATTATGATGTACTTTGTTGTGTTATAATAAATTTATTACTGTATTTGCAATTAAAGTTCTATGATTTTTATTTTAAATACAGTAATATATGTATATATGTGTTTATAATACAACCATTTATTACTGTATATTTATTATATATCTTTACATTTTAAAACTCATCTTGACTAAGTACATTATACAGAGGTTAATTAGAATGCTGTTTGCATGGACTTGGTGGCTTGAAGTGGTCCATTATTTTGCCCTGAATCCTTTTTAAACACTGAAAACAAAAATGACTCCTACACGACCAGCACACTAGATGGTTGTTCCCTTCTTGTTTTAGGTTTTGTTGGCCACACGTTGGGCAGCGTTTTATCAAAGGGATGTTGTCTGGATTTCGAAGCGCATCTCGGACTGCTACTGCCCCCTGAGAATACAACAAATTGTAAGTTTGTGATGATCATAATTTGTTTATTTTTATATATTTCATATTTTTTTTATAGAACTAAATAAAAATTATAATCTTGATTTTTAACGAATTGTAAATAATAATAATAATAATTGTTCCATAACAATGTATTAATTGTAAATTTTAGACGAAAATTCATGTTATTGTAAGGTTTTGTAAATTATTCTTATTGCATTTTATTTAATCGGTTTAAATTCAATTACCTATTGTAACATTTAATGATTCTATTTCTGTTTAAAGATATTAGGTGGTTTTAGTCACTGTGAAGTGTATCATCCTTTTGCAGAGGCGCTATATACTGTAATATTATATATTATTATTATTATTATTATTATTATTATAATTAATTATTATTGGGCGAGTCGAGTGGCCGAACGGTAAGGCAGGGGCGCCGCTAGCTACAGCCTTAACATTGGCGTTGGTTCCAGCCAATCCTCGCCCATAGTTCGGTTGGTAGAACCAACTCTTCTCGGATAAGGACTTAAAATGGAGGTCCAGTGTATACATCCGGCTTGTGTGCACTTTAAAGAACCCATTGCATCTTTCGGAAGAGTAGGGGGTTACCCCGATGTTATGGTTCATTTCAGCCCCTGTCGTTGTGGAATGATGTGAACATGTATCTACAAAGAAGCGCCTCTTTACAGCTTCAGCACAATGACGCTGCAAGTTATGGGTTATTCTCCTACCTTTACCTTTACCTTTTATTATTAGCAAAATCACTCATCTGGGGGGAACCAGGAATTTTGAAATAAGTGCCGGGGGGGGAAGGGGTGCAACAATTACTCAGAATAGAGCAAATTGTGGGGTATTGCTATCATGTGAATATATAACAGAAGGAAGCCTTATTTCCCACCATTACCCCTCCTATAAAAAGACAAACAGTTTTCTGTATTTTGACTTATGACTAACATTCTGAAAAGTTTAGATTTTTCTTTTACATAACCTATTACAGCTAAAGACAAGGTACAGTGACCAGGTGTTCAAAAGTCTTCCCCAAGAAACATGTTCATTGATTCACAGAAATCTTGTCGTTTGTATTCTGAGAGGTCTGCTAATGACTGAAACTTCTAGGATTTTTGTTGTGATATTAAATGTTATTCATATTTTCCTTAGACAGACCGATACAAGTTTGAAAAACATAATAGTTTTTTGTTTGTGTGATATTATATTATATCCTCTTATATTAATAGACAGACATGCCTATACAAGTCAACAACATAAACGAGCAGGGAAAATGAGGTGATAGGGGAGTGGTCAAATGGCCCAGCTAAACACAGTTTAAATTTTTTGCATCTTATTTTGTATCATTATTTGGATAGCTTTGATTTTGAAAATGCATTCAACTACTCACTCACTCACTGAATGAATGAATGAATCAATCAATCACCTAATCAATCAGTCAGAAAAACAATTATTTCTTTTTTGACATTTTATAATAATTTAGTATGAACAACAATGATAAAATATCTATTAAGATAAACTGTGTTCTTGTTAGCCAACATATTTAAACCACATAGAGACCAATATTCACGATGGATGTAATATTAATTTAAAGCCCTGTTGTCCAGACTATCAATTTTTTATTTCACAAAACATGTGACATGCCTAAATATGGTAGTGATGACATCACATCATCACCATATATAGGCACATCATGACTATATAAGGGCATACAACAGTTTATTGTCAAAGAAAATATGAACAGAGATTGAATCCTGACATGAGTTACACTTGACTTGTTGCAAGTGTCAAATTAAAACCATTTCATTACACTTACAGGTAACTCCTCTCTCTGCCTTCGCAGCTGTGGTAGAAGGTACTCTCCTTCCTCTTGTCCAGGAAACAGAATACAATTTCCATCCGAGAAATGATCATAACTAAAAATTGTTTTCCCGCAACGCCAACAAAATCCAATATTGCACTGTGAGCACCTCATGTGGTTGCACCTAAATACATAAAAGAACAATTATACATTAAACATATTTTATATATTATTTGAAAGAAAAACGAATTTCAATGTGTGATGTACATCTTGTTTGAATAAAATGCTGTGTTGTTACAGAAAACTCCAGTTGAGTTTGATGTGACGGTTAGTGTTTACAAGGAATTACTACAGTATGCAAATGACTGTAGCACTAAAAAGCAAAGTCGGACGACGGTGTGTGCCATTACATGCTCGCAAAGAGTGGAGATGGATTCAGCAAACACCGGCATGCGCGGCTAATTTAAAGAGATATTGATGTAGAAATGCTGGCTGAGGTCTGAAGCAAAAGAACAGTCATTGGACAGCAAAATCTTTGAGATTTGTGTGAATTTATCAGATCATTTAGACAAGGCTTATTTTTATACCTTATTTCACAAACTTGTTTTTTAAGATTGTCAGAAAAGGGCTGAAAAAAAAAAATTAAAATAATTTTTTTTTTATCTGATTTAGCAAGTAGTTTTAAATCTGTATAATTAGGGAGAAATATACATATTTTATTTTTGGAGATTCCAAGGCAGCAGCGCCTTATTAAAAAAAATAAAGAAAAACTTTTCTGAAATTTCAATTTTTTTTTCGTGGTAGCAGGTGCCCTAATTGGCAAAAAATAAAACTTAATTTATATTCAAAATCATCATTATTGACGGGCAGCAGGTTCGCTAAACAAGTTATAAAAAGTGTCCCGCCTTAGTTGCCAGAATAAGATGTGGGTTAAATTAAACAAAAATAAGAAAATAACAGAAAATATGACTCTAGGCTCCTGAAAAACACTTCGGCAAGTGCAGCATTTGCAACAAAACAGAGAGTGTCATACAGGAACTGCCACTTGTCCTATTAAATAGTATAACACTAAAATTTCCAACATTAGGGGAGACATTTTTATACCTTGTTTAGCTGCCTGCCAATAATGATAATTTGGAATAAAAATAACCATTTATTTTTCCCAATTAGCGCACCCACTGCCGCAAAAAATTAATATTTAATTAAGTTTTTCTTATTTTCATTATGCTCACCATTATTGCCTTGAAAAATCCATATATAAGATATGTATATTTTCTTCCTTATTATATAATTTAAAACATTTAACAATCCATTACTACATTGCTTACATTCACCAATAACATTTTTTTCTATTTTTTTTTTTGTCTGGATGATTTTGGCAAAACTATTTGCTATTAAATAACCAAACAAAATCTTATTTTTATTATTTTTCCACCCCACTCTGATGACTTTTAAAAAAATAATTTTGCAAAAAAATAAGAAGTTTCTGATGCTCTCACCCCATATTTTTCTGAATTGGTACACCACAACCGGGACAGTTTCTAGATATTTTTTTTATTTCTTCTTGAGATTCTAAATCTTGAGCTAGTCGTAACCTCTTTAAATACAGCTCCTCGCGCGGTAAATTATTTGCCTCCTCCAATTCTTGTAATTTTTCTACTGTAGTTTTACACTCTGTTCCCTATTTAAAATAATAGTAATTAAAAATACTTGATAAAAAAAATATTAATAACATTAATAATAATAATAATTAATAATAATAATAACCACCTGCAAATCATAATTCACTTTTCTAAATATCAAGCCATTCTGAGGGGTAGAAGACAATTACCTAATTGTGTAAAAAATTAGTCTTGTCTTTGAATTTCTTTATTACTCCAGTTATTAAGTAATATTCGAATGTTTTAAAAATGTAAAAAAAAACATGCAGGAAACAAATAAGACAATTATTATTGAAACAGTTCATATAAATGAATTAGACACATTACAAACTTTCCAATTATCTGATAAAAAAATTAATGGTTTTTATGAATGAATAAAACTTACAGCATGCCAGGGATCTTTGCATTTCGTACAGTAAGAATAAAAACAGTAAGTACAGTGTGCAAAGAATGACTCCTTAGCATTGGCTCCGCCTTGTGTTTCTTTCGTAGCAGGCATCTGGCAGCGGACACACCAATCAACATCTTCTATACTGTCCAAAGTTTTCTAGATCCCCAATAATAACAAATTTATCAGAATACATGCAACATAGTGCCTCTATGCACTTAACCAGTGGCGTAGAAAAATATTTTTCATTGGGGGGGGATGATTGGCGTGTTAGCCAAAGAAGAGGAAAAGAAAAGGAAAGAAAAAGAAAAAGAGAAGAGAAAAATAAAGACAAGAATAAAAAGGAAGATATCATAATGACCAGACTCACAACACCCTGCAACCACTTCTCCACTTCAAAAACTGTCATAAGTCCTTTCATCTATGCTGCCCGATGGCGTAACCACTGGGGGACAAGAGGAAAATATCTTAATCTTTGAAAAATCTTCCCCACCCCTTTATAAATGCCCTTTTCATCCCCTGAAAGTGCCTAAAAAACATTTTAGGGAGTTTTCATCAATTCCGACGAAATTAGAATTAAAAACACAAAAAAATTTTGCGTTTTTAGGGCTTTTTTAGGTTTATTCTTTTAAGTTATTTAAACACATACTGTAATAGTCCCAAACTCAAGGAAGACAAATTTAAGATAGATTGTTTTAACCTAAAAGAAGGGCATCGTGTATTGATGGTGAAATAATATGTTTGTAATAAATAAAACCATGATGAAAATGCATATATTTAGTTTCAAACACACATGTGTGGCCTATATTATAAATAAGATAAGCCCGATGTCGTATTGTTTTCTATATGGGGAGTGGCGTGGGGTGGGTATGGTAAATTACTAACCGGGAAAATAAATACCCACTCTGACCCAAGACGCCTGTTACGCGCCTGGTGTTAGCGCCAATGTGTGCCCTTGTGCAGACAGGGGATGTGCCCCACTCTGAAGCTGGAAACTTTGTTTTTGCAAAATAAATTGATGCAATTTGCTATTATAGGCCTAATCAATAAATTCCTCATCAACCGATATAACCTTAAACATTCTTGGAATTGACATAACATTACTGATGTCGTACACACCCTTCAGTGTGAAATGTGGCTCTCTTTGCAAGCACATCTAACATCTAAGGAAAGAGCTTAGATTGGTACCAGATAAAATAATTTTGTTATCAACATTAATACATTATGCTAATTTTCATCTTTGTAAGCGCATAAGACAGTGCAAAATTATTTCTGTGACAGTCTTTTGAAGTGTGTAAAGCTCCATTTTATCTCATACAAAATCAAAATATTGGGGGGGATGATACAATGGACCATCCCCCTTGTCAAATATTGGGGGGATATATCCCCCCATCCCCAGGGATCTACGCCTATGCACTTAACATTACTACCCTGAGTTTACAACAAAGAACACACACTAAGGTCAAATGGTTCAAATATTTTATTATATAATACGTATTTTATTACATAATACATATTTTATTACATATACATAATTAGCATATACATTAGACAATTGAACCTATGAAATATCCACTTATAATTTCAGTGGCCACCTGACAGCCTATTAGGCTCCATTCCAAAATCAACTGAATACTGATACCTTAAACTACTTTCATTATAAACACAAAGAGTCAAATAAGACAGGGGTGTCACAATTTACAGCCATCGAACAGCATGCTTGTTGTGGTGGTGGAAGAAATCTTCTAGAATAAAGCCTCCAAATCATAGGCCCAGTGTACACAAGTGGCTCGTGCTCACTGTACATCCTTTGAGAAGACTAGGGGGTTAAACCACTTTACAGGTGCATTCAGCCCCTCTCATTGTGAACAGACGAAAGTGCACATCGTGGCAGCTGATTGAACATGATGTGACATTTTAAGGGGAGAAGAAAAATTTGTTGAATAAGTCCATGCCCGAGTGCAACTCAACCTAGTTAAAAGCTGCCAGTCGCAGGGTTATTTCCAACATTTACCTTATCATCATCATGAAGCTTGATGACATTAGAAATGTAGACACAAACGCAAGCAAACCCGCTATGCCACACTAGTCACTGCAGTCAATTTTCAAAGTGAACCACTTATGCATGTACTACAACCACTGTGATAGGGAACCATGGATGTTGGGATATTTTTTTTATGAAGAATATAATAGCGTGAGCTAAAGCGTTATCAATATTAAATCAATATTATTATCTTCTTTATCATAATCACCATGTTGCTGGTCATTATACTTTTTCAATCATCATCATCATCATCATCATCATCATCATTATCATCATCATCATCATCATCATCATATAAAGGTATATAATCAAAATGCTATTATTCTCAATACCATCATCACCATTGATACCTGCAGCATAAGTCGCTCCCATCTCTGATATTTTTCATCTCCAAGGACCTGACGTAGCAGTGCAGGTGGCAGCGGTGTTTTGCATTCATGATTAGGACAACTGGAAAATGTTGAGCAGGGAGATAAAATAACACACAACTTCCATTAATGAAATAATGTCTCGCTATTATACTGCAGAGTGCATGAAGGTTCAAAACATCTATCATATTAAAATGAGCATCTAATTCAAAAATGAAACATTGTAAGAGTTGTTATTGAAAGAAAGATGTTTAATGGTGTCTAAATGTGTTATTAGTTTACATGTGTTGATTAATTTAAGCCTGTTGGAAATTGTTTGGTAAAAGAAACAGCAGCAGCAATAGCAGTGCTAGCAGCAACAGATGCAACAACAACTACTTAAAGTTATTTAACAATAATAGCAATAGCAGTGCAGCAAACAACAGCATTAGCACCAGCAACAACAACAGCAACAGCAAGAAAAGCACAACAACAGCACAACAGCAGAAACAGCAACAGGAACAACAGCAGCAGCAACAGCAACAAAAGCACAATAGCAGAAACAGCAACAAAAGTAACAGCAAAAAAGCAACAACAGCAGCAGCAAAATAACCAACAGCAACAACAGCAGAAACAGAAAAAGCAACAAAAGCAACAGCAAAACAGCAACAACATCAGCAGCAAAATAACCAGCAGCAACAACAGCAGAAACAGCAATGGCAGCAACAGCAAGATCAGCAAAAGCAAGGAAACCAGCACTAATTAAAATTATTTTTTAAAGTAAAAATAGCAACAGCAGCAAAACCACTACAGCAGCAAAAGCAGCACTAACAACAAAGCAGCAACAACAGCAACAGCAAACAACAGGAAAAACATCACACCTTTAATTATTTAAAAATAACAATTAGCTGCAGATGCAGAAGCAGTAGCAACAGCAGAAGAAACAGCAACAAAAACCAGCAATAGAACCAACAGCAACAACAGCAGGTCAACAAAAGTAACAATGACAACAACAGCAATAAAGTATAATCAGCTCAACTTTACCGTGCATGCAAGTTCGAATTCATTGAAATATTTAAAACTCACGTCAAAGACTGGACAGTCCCTGCAGCAACGTGCAACTCGCAATAAGCATTGAAACAATCGTAACAGAAATGATGCAAACAAGCATTCAAACGATAGAATTCTTCACCGGGTTTGCTCTCGATGCAAACTCCACATTCATGGGTCTCTTGAAGAAATTGCTTCAATTCACACTGACAGTCATACCTGAAATATACATTGTTGAGTTTTTATATAGACTAAATGGAATATTTCTAGATGACATGTCACATTCTCGCACCCTGATATGTGAGTGAGTGGGTGGGGGAGGTGATTGGGCAGATAGGAGGATGGTTGACCAGTTTGTCGATAGATCAATCTTATGAGACACAATGTCATGCTCAATAAAAAAAAAGTGTAAAATCTACATTTAATGCAATAATACTGTAATCTTAAATTTGTACTATCAGCCATAAGGTTAAAAAAAAATTATTTCATATCTGAATTGCTTACTTTGCATATTTAAGCAAGTTATTAACTTCAAACTAAAAATTTGATTGAGAAAAAAATTAAATCTTAAAAATGTACTATCAATATATTTCTAGATGACATGTTACGTTCATGCATCCTGCTATGTGAGTGAGTGGGTGGGGAGGTGATTGGGCAGATAGGAGGATGGTTGGCCGGTTTTATGATACACAACGTTATACCAAAAAAAAGAAAAATTTAAATCTACATTATGCAATTACTGTAATCTTAAAGTTGTACTATCAGCCAATCTTAAAGGGACAACTTTGTACTATCAACAATAAGGTAAAAAAAAAATTGAATTGCTTAATTTGCATATTTAAGTAAGTTATCAATAACTTCAAACTAAAAATTTGATTCAGAAAAAAATTTACCAATTTTTGGACAGTTAAATAATAATTTTCTATATTTATTTGCATAAATCTTTAAATTATATATCAGCTTTTTCCTGTCTTTTTGACTGATAGTCTTTAAATTTCCTAATAGTCAGTAATTACTGTAAAGCAAAATATTTAACTAAAAGACTGTATGAGAAACACCTTTCAACAAGCTATCATATAACACAATATAATTGAAGAAAATAATTTTTAAAAAATTAATAAAAATATATTTAAATATTGCATTACCTCAACATATTAATCATGTCTTCCATGTAGTCATTGACCTCAGTTGACACTCTTTCATCAAGGCCGTCATCATTGGTGGAATATCGACCAATCATAACACAGCTTGTGATTCCAAGAAAACTAAAAGAAAATTAATTCATTATTAAAGAAAAATTATAAAAATATTATATATACTGATGCTTGTGGTACACCACATAGATAGTTCTGAAAAGAATTATTGTTGTTGGTTGAGAATATCTCCTAAAAAAATATTGCCAAAACATTTTTTTAATGGAATTAATTCAGATTAATTGGGGACAGAAAAAGCCATTGTACAATGGAAATAATAAGAATTCTTTTTATTAAATAAATCAGTTTACATTTATACTTTACTAGAAATAAGATTGACCTTTACATTGAAATTTTTTACTTTGCATACTCTATTCCTATAAGCATTACATATTCAAGCGAAAAAACCAAGGTAGATGGGTAGACAATTAGAGAGGAATGATTTTAAATGCAATTGAGAAATAATGCTGAATTATAAGGCAGTACCACTTTAGTACTTCCAGGGAGCAGATGGGGTTGCACTGCATTATGATCATGATAGACAATTTCCTAGGGGTGGATACGGGAGTGCATAGTAACCAAAATTGTACAAAGCTTATTAACGATGATGAGTTGAAAACTTGATATATCGGCTAATAACAACATGTCAAAGCCTAAAACTGCTGCTGATGTAATATTTCCAGTAATTAAAACTGAAACGACAGAATCTGTACTTGACATGCGGTAGATGTGGTTAAAGCAGAGGCATCGCAACCTACCGCCATAATATCGGCGCAGGTTCAAGAAGCAGGCTTGTCTATGGTTCTGGTGGCAGAACAAATATTCTCGGATAAGGACTATAAACTGTAAGCCCAGTGTACAGTACATAATGCCTCAGGAGCGCTGCAAAGAACCAAGAATATAGACCTATCCAAAAGAACATTTTTGAGTGTCGCCCTCTATTGTCGGCGCCATTACTGGGGTGGCATTTGCGAAGTTGGGGGTACCGCGAAGTTTAGAGATGCAATGCGGAGTTTAGTTTTCAATGCAGTTGTTGCTGAGAACAACAGGGTTTTTTTCGACAGTAGCAGCTGCATAATGTCGTCAGTCTTCAACCTATATTTTATCACAATCCAAGATAAGTATATTTCGTGTATTTAAGACAGAATATTAATAACGATAGGAATTAGGGGCCTCGATACATCGTATACAGTATACTGTATATATTACGTTAGGCCTAGCTAGCCTGTAGTCTAAAGTAGCTAGGTATCTAGCCTAGGGTAGGCTAGCTAATCGGATAACACTGCTGTAACATTAACAAGAAAGAGGTCCAACGACAGCGTAGCAGATAACAAATTTACACGGGCCTAGAGAGAATAGCATGACGCCAGAGAGGGCCTA